GACTTGGAGTGCTAGTGGGTCTGGTACCAGGCTGACATAGACTGGTAGTTTGTTGTTGAGACATGTGGCGAATAGATCTATGTTTGGAATGTCCCATATCTGGGTTATCCACTTGAACACCTCGGGATGTAGTGACCATTCTGTGGGTACTATCTTGTTCTTCCGGGATAGGTAATCTGCTAGTATATTTAGCTTGCCCGGAATGTGTATTTCTTCGATCTTGCAACTCACTGAGTCTACCAAGGCATATAAACGTGTAACCTCCTTCAGTAAAGGCTGAGATCTTGTGCCTCCTTGGTGCTGTATGTAAGCGACCACGGTTGAGTTGTCTGTAGCTATCTTCACTGACGAGTGGTGTAGATGATCTAGCCAAGCTGTTAATGCTAGATATATCGCTCTCATTTCTAGACAGTTGATGTGCAACTCTTTCTCTTGGGAGGACCATTTCCCTTGAATGGTGACATCGTCCATATGGGCACCCCAACCCTCTCCTGATGCATCTGTGTAGAGTTGATGTAGGGGGGTGGGGTAGTTTAGTGGAATACCTGGCATGACATTTTGACGATCTAGCCACCAAAGGAGTTCTGAGATTCGAACTTCTGGGGGTTGGATTAGTGCTTCCAGCTCTAGGTTCTTGGTGGTGTTCATCCAAATCTGCAAGGACCGCAATTGTAGGCTGCCTCTGTAGGTTAGGTCTTGGATAGATGTGAGCGTGCCTAGGCAAGACATCCACCACCTTCTTGACTTGACGGGCTGATCGAGTGCGCACGTAATCATGTGCTGTACCCTTGCATATCTGTCCTCTGGGGGTGCGACTATGCCCTTGTCGAGAATAAATCTTGCGCCTATGTAGGTGATGGCCTGTGTGGGTACTAGCTCTGATTTTTGAGAGTGAACCAGGAAACCTAAATGTGTGAGAAGTTGGATGAGACACACTGTGTTTAGACTGAGTAGTGATTTGTCCTGATCGACCGATAGGAAATCGTCTATATATCCGTGCAGCCTTATGAGCTTCATATGGGCGAACCCAATGACGGGATTGGTGATCCTGGTGAATAACCATGGGGCGATGGAAATGCCGAATGGTAGTACCCTGAACTGGTATCTCTGACCGTTGACAGCAAATCGTAGGTATCGACGATGGCTTGGATGGATGGGGACGTGAAGATATGCGTCTTGGAGATCTATGCTTATCATCCAATCTGCTTGTCTTAGGGAATTCTTCAACTTCTTTATAGATTCCATCTGAAATGTGGGTGGTTTTTCCAGGTAATCTTTGTTCAGAGTTTTTAGGTCTATTATTAATCTCATCTCTGAAGAATTCTTCTTCGGTACCAGAAAAACTGGGGAGTAGAATCCGAGGGTGGTGTCTGACTCCTCTAGGGTGCTGATAGCTCCTTTTGTGAGTAATTTTTGTATGGCCACTTCTGCTGTGATTAGCTTGGGTCCTGATAGCCGGAATCAGGGTCCGGTAGGATGAATGACTAGTTTTGGTCGTTTTAAGAAGTGAAGTTTGTAGCCTCTTCTTATTACTTCGAGTAACCATGAGTCGTCTGTGATGGTCTCCCAGTTGTCTGTGTACTGCATAAGACGGCCCCCGAGAGGCCCTGGAATAGGATGAGATTTGAACTTGGGAAGTCTTGAGTCGATGTTTGTAAGATTGGCTAGTTCGACTGGATTTGGAATAGACGTGTCCTTGGTCTTCCGTAATGCTAAATCGTTGTCCGTAGGGCAGGCAAAGTCGGAAGGATCTGGATGGGTCTGTAGATTTATGGTGAAGTCATCTCCGGAGGGGGCCCCTACGAGAACTGCCTCTTCCTCTGCCAAGTCCTTTCTGTGAAGTGGGAAAATCAACTTTGGAGCTCTTGTACCTGGGTTGATACGATCTGTTTCTCTGTGTAGAGGCTCGAAAAGAATCCCGGTTGGGCTGTTCACGTCGGGGTCCAGGACTCCGTCGCTGGGGTCGAGTAGCCGCCGGTTGTCTCTGTAACTTGGATGCTAATGAGATGGTGGATTCCTGAAATCTCTGGTTAGTTGAAGAGATAATGGCTTCCTTCACCGACTTCAGTCTACCGTAGAAAATCTGCGATGACGTAATGGGCTGTGACATCATGGATCTCTTTAAGGGGTCTGGCATCACATGATGAACTTGCTGAAGTAAGTGTCTTCTTTGCATGAGCAAAAACTGCGATGACATCCATACTTGAGCTGATAGGAGGTCTTCCTGCATCTTCAGTATGTGGTCTATATGAGCTGTGGATAAATCCCGTCTTCTGACTAGTCATCTCCGTGGAAGTGTCTAAGGGAAGATCTTCGCTCTGGTTGCACGGTGGTATGACATGGCGAATACCAGCTGCTAACAAGTTGATGTAAGAACTGGTATTCATCATTTGTCTATTGACCCTATCTAAGCTCTTGATCTTGGACATATCAATGCGCATATTGGGGTTAGGTTTCTTAACCAGATCGAAGTAATCTTCATCAATGCTAGGCTGTAGTGAGAACGGATCATCATGTGTTTTGTAAGCAGATTTTATAAATACAGGCCTCAGTTTCGCACTAGGTCCCGCTGAACAATTCAATTGATTTTCAGTTCTCTTGATGACGTCATCCAAATATGACGGAGGGGGAAGCGTATGGTATGGTTCGGTCCCTTTATCGGGTCCCTCATATCCTGCACGTTCAATCAAGGTTTTAACGGGTGTACTGTCCTGATCTGGTTTTAATGTGGGCATTAGTTCATAAAGTTCTGCTAAGATGTCTCTAAGGGAGTAATTGTTTGATCTATAATCCTCCTCTATAGCAGTGTCCCCATAGCCTGAATACTCCGGTGTAGATTGGCACCCCCAACTCTGGCTGTGCTGGGAGTGGGTCGTATGGCTGAGGGTATCGTAATCCCGGTCGTCTGATTTACGACAAGCTGTGCGAGAATCACGTGATTTATAACTGTATAGTGATGTCAAATTTCCCTCGCTTTCTTCGCCTGTATAACAGGACTGTGTGGCAGTATGAGAGGGTGCACGCTTAGGATTACTATCCTGATGTGCACGAGCTTTGTCAGTGCGTCTATCATAGTGGCTTGACGGTGACTGGTGCATATTTCTATGCATACTTCGGTGTAAAGACCGTGATTCACGATGATCCCTATGGTATGCGTGGTAGGGAGAAGATCTATGAGATTCTCGGTCTCTTAGTATAATTCTCCTACTGTCCTCATAGTCTGATTCAGCGTAACCTTGCTTTACATGTCTGCTGGATGAGGGTGTACTGCCATATTCAGCCTTAGATCTCTGTTTACTCTCGTGATCGATCCCTGATTGGCCAAGCCGGGTTTGATTAACTGATTCTTTTAGATCTGAGATTTCTCGAGACATAGATTGTATGCGTGTGTCAATCATAACAGACATAGAATTTGTTATTCTTTCCGTGAACTCATTTACGTTAAAGGGGGAACGCGGCAGAGGGTGAAAGTCGTTAGTTTCTGTCCAAACTCGACGATCAACCGTACCAGACGTTGCCGGATGCAAGTTAGAGGTACTTTCTGATGGACCAGTAAAATGCATCTGCTCCTCAACATTATAGGGAGAGTGGGATGAGCGACATGGTCTCTTCTCCTCATAAGGTGAGACGGCGCCCTCGCGCGACACTCGCTTGTCACCCACGTGATTAATTTTTGCCGCCTCGGGCTTAATCACTTGTTTTCTTGATGTAGATGCTCTAGTGACTTTTTATAATCGGGATTTTTGATCCATGCCTTGGAGAGCTTGTCAAATTTTTCTTTTGACAGATGCTCGCAATAACTGCACCTTGACTTCTGTGTACAGCTGCTTTTCTTGCATGCGAGACATCTAGGGTGAGGATCCCCCGGAGGTTGGTGTTGTCCACAGCCCGAACAGACAGGTGTCTGCTTATGAGATGAAGATCTCATCCCACAACACTTTTCTTAACTAATTACTTACTAGAGACTCCGATCTTCTATACCCCCGTTCTGCTTGTAGAACTGCTCTTTGCTTGTCATCTATGAAGCTTGAGACGATCTAATGCTTGTAGTGTGGAACGCAATCACGTGTTCGGATGTGCAACAAAATTTTTCCTTGTTGTCATCAGGACACACAGGAAAGAAGTGACTAGATTCCCGCCTTGCGCATGCGCAGTGGCGCCTCTGGCAAGGGATAGGGTTTCCCTCACAATTATGGATATGTTGGCAGTGTAGTGGACGTCTGTTGAAAATTTATAAAAAAATTTATAGTGTGGTTCTCAGCATAAACAGGAATTTATGGCACTGATGTGATAGAGGTGAGGTATTCACAAGAATTATACAGATACTAGGCTGGACATACTACTACTTAACATACAGATACTAGGCTGGACATACTACTACTTAACATATCAATACTAGGCTGGACATACTACTACATAACATACAGATACTAGGCTGGACATACTACTACTTAACATACAGATACTAGGCTGGACATACTACTACTTTACATACAGATACTAGGCTGGACATACTACAGCCTAACATACAGATACTAGGCCGGGCATACTACTACTTAACATACATATACTAGGCTGGACATACTACAGCTTAACATACAGATACTAGGCTGGACATACTACAGCTTAACATACATATACTAGGCTGGACATACTACAGCTTAACATACAGATACTAGGCTGGACATACTACAGCTTTATATACAGATACTAGGCTGGACATACTACTACTTAACATACAGATACTAGGCTGGACATACTACTACTTAACATACAGATACTAGGCTTGACATACTACAGCTTATATACAGATACTAGGCTGGACATACTACAGCTTAACACACAGTCTCTAAACAGCTGGCACAGTATGACTCACCTTGATAAACACCTGGCACAGTATAGCTCACCTTGACAAACAGCCGGCACAATATAGCTCACCTTCACAAACATCTGGCACAGTTTGACTCACCTTGACAAACAGCTGGCACAGCATGACTCACCTTGACAAACAGCTGGTACTGCTGTATGCGCGTATGAGAGTTGGTGAGCTGCTCCTGTGCAGCATCTATGGCAGCCTCACTCTGTGTGGCAAGGCCATGCAGCTGCTGCTTGGCTGTCTTCTCCAGCTCTGCCAGGGCCTCCTCCAGCTGGCCACACTTGGCCTTGGCCTCACAGTACAGCTTAGTCTGCACATACACACTCAAGCTATAACCAGTGCTGTTAGATAGGGTCAGACGGCTGGTATCACAATATGGGTTATTGTAAGGATGTGTATTCCAGGGCAGATTCCCGGATGCAGTCCTGCATATACTTCTGCTTTTCCAGTGCAGCACTGTCCCCACCAACGTTAAATTGAGCCACATTTGAGATTGCCTTTTAGTTTGTCTGAGATTTTCAAGCAAAGGTCATTGTCTTCCACATATACTTTCTTCATCATAATTAACTAAAAACAGGTGTTTTATCAAAATAACAGATCTTTACATCAGTATTTACTTCATGAATTTGATACAAAGTAACAGTGTGACAATTCGGTATAGCCTTATGGTGCTCTCAATCCTGTGGAGGAAATTCTTCAAATCCTTGCAGGAAATATCTCTTGATAATGCCAAAGTCAGGCTTCTTTGTTCCAGGACCCATAAATTTTGCCTCAAGAATTAAACCTTATTATCACATGATTACTTTCAGAGATTATGCGTTGCAGGATACTGTACTGGAAATGCATATTATCTGGGTACCCTCCTGTGTAAGAGAACAGCCTGGCATTCCCCTGTCGTACTTGGCCTTACAATGTACATTTCTGCACTAGTGCTATTCTGCTCCTTGTGTAGGCAGAAAGGTTAAACAACAATGAAGTTTTTTAAAATGAAAATATAACCAGAAAATTGAATGCATCATATGAATGAGTCACATAATGAGGCAAATGGCCTACCTTCTTCTCGACATCCAACACAGCCTTGCAGTATTTGTCCTCACAGTCCTGCTTCTCTCTCACCGCCACACTCATACGCCGCCGTGACGACTCCATCTGCACACACATTCTAGGATTATCACAAGATTGGGGTATTTTGCATAGTCAGTCACTTATCTTTTTAATGATATCACCAACATTTGAATCAAATATTTTATTCACCTGCGTTTTCATCTTGTCATTGGTTTCAGAGAGGAGGCAGACCTTTGTCTCCAAGTCAGTCTGAAACAGAAACAACATCTTGCTGTAGGCTAGCTCTGCATCAATGTAACAGGTAGTCCATCACTGGCAACATCTTGCATCATGCGGTAGGATAGCATGGCATCAATGTAAGAGTCAGTCTGCAACAGCAACATCTTGCATCATGCTGTAGGATAGCATGGCATCAATGTAAGAGTCAGTCTGCAACAGCAACATCTTGCTGTAGGATAGCATGGCATCAGTTAACAGTCAATCCATCACCAGCAACATTCTGGCTGACTTTTGTTTATCTGAAGCCTCTGAAATTACACAGTTAACCCAATCAGCATCATGTCTCAGCAACTTAGTGTCATTATAAGAACAGATCATTTGACTGTCAAAATTCAAAACCAGAAGAAAAAATCCTAGAACATATTGTACATATTATTCAACACCACTAAGCACTACCCAGATAACAACAAAAAGTTTCATCATGCGGTAGGATAGCATGGCATCAATGAAAGAGTCAGTCTGCAACAGCAACATCTTGCATCATGCGGTAGGATAGCATGGCATCAATGTAAGAGTCAGTCTGCAACAGCAACATCTTGCATCATGCTGTAGGATAGCATGGCATCAATGTAAGAGTCAGTCTGCAACAGCAACATCTTGCATCATGCGGTAGGATAGCATGGCATCAATGTAAGAGTCAGTCTGCAACAGCAACATCTTGCATCATGCGGTAGGATAGCATGGCATCAATGTAAGAGTCAGTCTGCAACAGCAACATCTTGCATCATGCTGTAGGATAGCATGGCATCAATGTAAGAGTCAGTCTGCAACAGCAACATCTTGCATCATGCTGTAGGATAGCATTGCATCAATGTAAGAGTCAGTCTGCAACAGCAACATCTTGCATCATGCTGTAGGATAGCATGGCATCAATGTAGGAGTCAGTCTGCAACAGCAACATCTTGCATCATGCTGTAGGATAGCATGGCATCAATGTAAGAGTCAGTCTGCAACAGCAACATCTTGCATCATGCTGTAGGATAGCATGGCATCAATGTAAGAGTCAGTCTGCAACAGCAACATCTTGCATCATGCTGTAGGATAGCATGGCATCAATGTAAGAGTCAGTCTGCAACAGCAACATCTTGCATCATGCGGTAGGATAGCATGGCATCAATGTAAGAGTCAGTCTGCAACAGCAACATCTTGCATCATGCGGTAGGATAGCATGGCATTAATGTAAGAGTCAGTCTGCAACAGCAACATCTTGCATCATGCGGTAGGATAGCATGGCATCAATGTAAGAGTCAGTCTGCAACAGCAACATCTTGCATCATGCGGTAGGATAGCATGGCATCAATGTAAGAGTCAGTCTGCAACAGCAACATCTTGCATCATGCTGTAGGATAGCATGGCATCAATGTAAGAGTCAGTCTGCAACAGCAACATCTTGCATCATGCGGTAGGATAGCATGGCATCAATGTAAGAGTCAGTCTGCAACAGCAACATCTTGCATCATGCGGTAGGATAGCATGGCATCAATGTAAGAGTCAGTCTGCAACAGCAACATCTTGCATCATGCTGTAGGATAGCATGGCATCAATGTAAGAGTCAGTCTGCAACAGCAACATCTTGCATCATGCTGTAGGATAGCATTGCATCAATGTAAGAGTCAGTCTGCAACAGCAACATCTTGCATCATGCTGTAGGATAGCATGGCATCAATGTAGGAGTCAGTCTGCAACAGCAACATCTTGCATCATGCTGTAGGATAGCATGGCATCAATGTAAGAGTCAGTCTGCAACAGCAACATCTTGCATCATGCTGTAGGATAGCATGGCATCAATGTAAGAGTCAGTCTGCAACAGCAACATCTTGCATCATGCTGTAGGATAGCATGGCATCAATGTAAGAGTCAGTCTGCAACAGCAACATCTTGCATCATGCTGTAGGATAGCATGGCATCAATGTAAGAGTCAGTCTGCAACAGCAACATCTTGCATCATGCTGTAGGATAGCATGGCATCAATGTAAGAGTCAGTCTGCAACAGCAACATCTTGCATCATGCTGTAGGATAGCATGGCATCAATGTAAGAGTCAGTCTGCAACAGCAACATCTTGCATCATGCTGTAGAATAGCATGGCATCAATGTAAGAGTTCAGTCTGCAACAGCAACATCTTGCATCATGCGGTAGGATAGCATGGCATCAATGTAAGAGTCAGTCTGCAACAGCAACATCTTGCATCATGCTGTAGGATAGCATGGCATCAATGTAAGAGTCAGTCTGCAACAGCAACATCTTGCATCATGCTGTAGGATAGCATTGCATCAATGTAAGAGTCTGTCTGCAACAGCAACATCTTGCATCATGCGGTAGGATAGCATGGCATCAATGTAAGAGTCAGTCTGCAACAGCAACATCTTGCATCATGCGGTAGGATAGCATGGCATCAATGTAAGAGTCAGTCTGCAACAGCAACATCTTGCATCATGCTGTAGGATAGCATGGCATCAATGTAAGAGTCAGTCTGCAACAGCAACATCTTGCATCATGCTGTAGGATAGCATGGCATCAATGTAAGAGTCAGTCTGCAACAGCAACATCTTGCATCATGCGGTAGGATAGCATGGCATCAATGTAAGAGTCAGTCTGCAACAGCAACATCTTGCATCATGCGGTAGGATAGCATGGCATTAATGTAAGAGTCAGTCTGCAACAGCAACATCTTGCATCATGCTGTAGGATAGCATGGCATCAATGTAAGAGTCAGTCTGCAACAGCAACATCTTGCATCATGCTGTAGGATAGCATGGCATCAATGTAAGAGTCAGTCTGCAACAGCAACATCTTGCATCATGCGGTAGGATAGCATGGCATCAATGTAAGAGTCAGTCTGCAACAGCAACATCTTGCATCATGCGGTAGGATAGCATGGCATCAATGTAAGAGTCAGTCTGCAACAGCAACATCTTGCATCATGCGGTAGGATAGCATGGCATTAATGTAAGAGTCAGTCTGCAACAGCAACATCTTGCATCATGCTGTAGGATAGCATGGCATCAATGTAAGAGTCAGTCTGCAACAGCAACATCTTGCATCATGCTGTAGGATAGCATGGCATCAATGTAAGAGTCAGTCTGCAACAGCAACATCTTGCTGTAGGATAGCATGGCATCAGTTAACAGTCAATCCATCACCAGCAACATTCTGGCTGACTTTTGTTTATCTGAAGCCTCTGAAATTACACAGTTAACCCAATCAGCATCATGTCTCAGCAACTTAGTGTAATTATAAGAATAGATCATTTGACTGTCAAAATTCAAAACCTGAAGAAAAAATCCTAGAACATATTGTACATATTATTCAACACCACTAAGCACTACCCAGATAACAACAAAAAGTTTCATACCAAAAAAAGACATACCAATTGCCAATAAAGTTGTCTGATGTGGCTAACATATTTGAAATCTGACCAGAACTGTTTGAAAACAATGCAGTGTCACTACTGATGTATACATGAAGGGCATTACAGCCTAACTGGCCTGCAGTTTTCAGACGTTGCTTGAGACTTACATCAATACATCACAAGAAATCATACGAGTTGTCTCCCCTAGACCAAGCAACTTACAATTCTGTCCCCATCAGTTTTGGCTTCCTCCTGAACATATTTCAGCTTGGTGCGCTGACTCTCCACCAGAGCACGCTTCTGGCTGTTATCTCTCTCTATGTGGTTGATCCTGGAGAGAAATCAAAGCTCTTAAGTTTTCAATCTTCATAAATGAGAACCAGGCTTAATGATTCCAAAATAACCTGGTCACTGTTTATCTGCATTTGCATGACCGGGAATTCCCACCTTTCTTGAAGAGACTTCAGCTGCTGCTGTAGTCCCTCATTCTCGGTCTTGAGGTTCCTGATTGTGGCTGACTGGCGGGACAGCTCATTTGATGACACCTGGGAAATGATAAACCTCTTAAGTTAAAAACAACAACATTCCGGCTTGACAGTGGAAGGCTGAGATTTCCTTCTACATACTGACAAAGAATTTCACCTAAGAACAAGAGAGCCAAGAGAAGCAATCACTACCACATGAGGTGAGGTGAGGTGAGGTGAGGTGAGGTGAGGTGAGGTGAGGTGAGGTGAGGTGAGGTGGAACGTGTATGCGTGCATGCGTGCGTCTACATGTGTAGTGTACCTTGTTACTACCAATCTATGATATATCCACATGTGTAGTGTACCTTGTTACTACAGGCCTATGATATATCCACATGTGTAGTGTACCTTGTTACTACCGACCTCTGATATATCTACATGTGTAGTGTACTTTGTTACTACCAGCCTCTGATATATCCACATGTGTAGTGCAGTTGTTACTACCGGCCTCTGATATATCCACATGTGTAGTGTACCTTGTTACTACTGATCTATGATATATCCACATGTGTAGTGTACCTTGTTACTACCGGCCTCTGATATATCTACATGTGTAGTGTACCTTGTTACTACCGGCCTCTGATATATCCACATGTGTAGTGTACCTACCGACCCTGATATATCCACATGTGTAGTGTACCTGATTACTACCAATCTATGATATATCCACATGTGTAGTGTACCTTGTTACTACCGGCCTCTGATATATCCACATGTGTAGTGTACCTACCGGCCTATGATATATCCACATGTGTAGTGTACCTTGTTACTACCAATCTATGATATATCCACATGTGTAGTGTACCTTGTTACTACCGGCCTCTGATATATCCACATGTGTAGTGTACCTACCGGCCTATGATATATCCACATGTGTGGTGTACCTTGTTACTACCAATCTATGATATATCCACATGTGTAGTGTACCTTGTTACTACCGGCCTATGACATATCCATATGTGTAGTGTACCTGGTTACTACCAGTCCATGATATATCCACATGTGTAGTGTACCTTGTTACTACCGGCCTATGATATATCCACATGTGTAGTGTTCCTTGTTACTACCAGTCCATGATATATCCACATGTGTAGTGTACCTTGTTACTACCGGCCTATGATATATCCACATGTGTAGTGCAGTTGTTACTACTAATCTATGATATATGCACATGTGTAGTGTACCTTGTTACTACCGGCCTCTGATATATCTACATGTGTAGTGTACCTTGTTACTACCGCCCTATGATATATCCACATGTGTAGTGTACCTTGTTACTACCGGCCTATGATATATCCACATGTGTAGTGTACCTACCGACCCTGATATATCCACATGTGTAGTGTACCTTGTTACTACCAATCTATGATATATCCACATGTGTAGTGTACCTTGTTACTACCGGCCTCTGATATATCCACATGTGTAGTGTACCTACCGGCCTATGATATATCCACATGTGTAGTGTACCTACCGACCCTGATATATCCACATGTGTAGTGTACCTTGTTACTACCAATCTATGATATATCCACATGTGTAGTGTACCTTGTTACTACCGGCCTAGGATATATCCACATGTGTAGTGTGCATTGTTACTACCGGCCTATGATATATCCACATGTGTAGAGTACCTTGTTACTACCGGCCTATGATATATCCACATGTGTAGTGTACCTTGTTACTACCGGCCTCTGATATATCCACATGTGTAATGTACCTACCGGCCTATGATATATCCACATGTGTAGTGTACCTTGTTACTAACAATCTATGATATATCCACATGTGTAGTGTACCTTGTTACTACCGGCCTATGATATATCCACATGTGTAGTGTACCTTGTTACTACCAGTCCATGATATATCCACATGTGTAATGTACCTTGTTACTACCGGCCTATGATATATGCACATGTGTAGTGTACCTACCGACCCTGATATATCCACATGTGTAGTGTACCTGGTTACTACCAATCTATGATATATCCACATGTGTAGTGTACCTTGTTACTACCGGCCTATGATATATCCACATGTGTAGTGTACCTACCGGCCTATGATATATCCACATGTGTAGTGTACCTTGTTACTAACAATCTATGATATATCCATATGTGTAGTGTACCTTGTTACTACCGGCCAAGGATATATCCACATGTGTAGTGTACCTTGTTACTACCGGCCTATGATATATCCACATGTGTAGAGTACCTTGTTACTACCGGCCTATGATATATCCACATGTGTAGTGTACCTTGTTACTACCGGCCTCTGATATATCCACATGTGTAATGTACCTACCGGCCTATGATATATCCACATGTGTAGTGTACCTTGTTACTAACAATCTATGATATATCCACATGTGTAGTGTACCTTGTTACTACCGGCCTATGATATATCCACATGTGTAGTGTACCTGGTTACTACCAGTCCATGATATATCCACATGTGTAATTTACCTTGTTACTACCGGACTATGATATATGCACATGTGTAGTGTACCTTGTTACTACCGGCCTCTGATATATCCACATGTGTAGTGTACCTTGTTACTACCGGCCTATGATATATCCACATGTGTAGTGTACCTTGTTACTACCGGCCTATGATATATCCATATGTGTAGTGTACCTTGTTACTACCGGCCTATGATATATCCACATGTGTAGTGTACCTTGTTAGTACCAATCTATGATATATCCATATGTGTAGTGTACCTTGTTGCTACCGGCCTCTGATATATCCATATGTGTAGTGTACCTGGTCACTACCAATCTATGATATATCCACATGTGTAGTGTACCTTGTTACTACCGGCCTATGATATATCCATATGTGTAGTGTACTTTTTCCTACCAATCTATGATATATCCACATGTGTAGTGTACCTTGTTACTACCGGCCTATGATATATCCACATGTGTAGTGTACCTTGTTACTACCGGCCTATGATATATCTACATGTGTAGTGTACCTTGTTACTACCGGCCTCTGATACATCCACATGTGTAGTGTACCTTGTTACTACTGGCCTATGATATATCCACATGCGTAGAATACCTTGAGTCTTGTCTCCAGCACCTTCCACTCTTGGTCATTGTGGCGTTCGTGCAGGGTGTTCATGGTGGAGGCGGAGTCGTCCCCCCTGGCAAACAGCTGTTTCTCCATCTCCCCCTTTTCCTTCTGCATCCTCTCCACCTCCACCGTAAGTCTCTGCAGGAACACATGTAACAGGACTGATAGATGCCTATATTTAAGAAATAAACGATGAGATATTTACCAAACAATAAAACACTGCATCGAGAATAAACCATGAAGGGGATATTTTCCAGAAGAGATCTTAAAATGATGGAGGTCCAGTTAGGAGCATGAGTAAGACTAGAATAGTCCAGTGAATGGAGCTCAGAGACCCTAGCTGCTGTGGCCATGGTTAGTAAAAAGACTGGAAAGGGTGCACGGGAATCACGCACGCACGAATACGGTGTTAGCTTTGGGCGTCTCAACGTGCGTGATTCCTGTTCACCCTTTCGAGTTGAGTTGATTGGTTCAACTGTGTCATATGGCCCTGTGATGCAGGGGTAGCATTATGCAGATGGCTGTTTCAATGAATGCTCGTTCCACCCGTGATGAACAGGTCTGGTTGTTGATGAAATATAGTGATAGCTAAAAAGACAGATTTTTTTATTCATGCACCGATTGTCTTTAAATGTAGTATCCAGTTATGTATGACTGTTTAATAATCTCATACCAACTTTGATAGGAGTAGGTCCAATAGTTTTTCAGATATTGTAGTAAACGTCGGTACTTTAAATTACCTTCCAGACTATAATTGACAGCAATCCTCTTCTGGAAACCATAACGTACTGATTCTTTTAAGGTCTAATTCTACCCCAAAGATGTCATTTCCTGGTTGGAAGGGATTAGTTCAGCTATTTCCAGTGCTGACGTCACTTCCAGCTTCTCTATCACTTCCGGTAATGACGTCACATCCGGTCAATGGCGATAGATGCTATTTAAGGTGCTTCTAATCCAGGGAGTTCGTAGCCTTAGCCTTCCTCTGAAAGTCATATCAATGTCAAGTTGCCCAGCAGAGACATCCACCACCTCAGCAACTTGCTGGGATGACTGGATTGACTAGATCATCCTCATAGTCTTGGCGAATCAGTCCTCTGGTGGCCATAGATATCCCCTGTCTAGCTGGAATCCTGCTCCAATGTATATAATGTCTTGGACTGGAGTGATCTCTGACTTGGCTGGGTTGACTAGGAAACCCAGGTAAGTCATAAGCTGGACCAAGAATATCATGTTCAGATGTAGCTGATCTTTCCCTTGGTCTGCCCCTAAGAAGTCGTCCAGATAACCATGGATTTGAACTAGCTTGAGATGGGCGAACTTGATGACTAGAGCTGTAATTCTGGTGAATAGCCAAGGTGCGATTGCTATCCCAAATAGTAGGACTTGGAATTCATAGCGTCAGTCATTGATTGTGAAGCATAGATATTCCCGAGATGATGGGGATGTGAGGATATGCATGTGTATAGGCTGATAAGCAAGTCTCCCTTCTTCAATGTCGACCGCAACTTCTGTAGGTATTCCATCTGGAATTTTGGAGGCGGCACCAGATATCTCTTGTTGAGGATTTTTAGATCTATTCTCATCCTCATCTCGCTTGTTTTCTTCTTTGGGACTGAAAAGACTGAGGAGCAAAAACCTTTGGTGTTGTTGGACTCCTTTAGTTCCCAAATGGCTCGTTTCTTAAGTAGTTTCCTGATGGCCAATTCTGCAGCTGCTAACTTGGCACTGGTCAGAGAAACAGTGTGTATGTTCAGGCTTGGATGTTTCCTGAAGTGTAGCTTGTAACCGTGAGCCACAAAGTCTAGAATCCAGTGGTCTGGCATAACTTGCTTCCAATTTTCGGCATATGACAGAAGGCGCCCTTCCACTGGGCCCGGCCACGGCGATTATATCCCCTTGGGTGGCGAAAAAGAGTCCTGTTAATATTGTGGCTTGTCGTACCTACGCCTCAGAGATAAAACTTCTTCTTAGGTCCAAACAGGGTCGCTTGTGAGACTGTGATGACGCATGCACTCTCGCTGCAAATATATATGGTTGAAGTCTGGAAATGTTCGGCTGTATCCTGCTTGACTTCGTCTATCACATTTCTGAGCTTGCCATTTGTGGTTGCTGATACTGGTTGCGATGTCACAAACTGCTTGGTCTGGCTAAATACGGCCCTTGACCTAATCTGAGATAGGAGCTGTTGTCGCTGTAGTCTCAGTAACTGTGAAGAAGTCCGAATATCCATGGAGTATCTGGCAACCGATGCTAATCCTTGAAACATGATGCTGATAATGTAACCTTCATGTTGGGATTGCGCACTAATTTGTAGAAATCCTCATCCAAGTGTTGGAACTCCGGAAGTGTAGCATCGTGCGTCTTATAACTTTCGTTTCATAGGTGAAAGAGGTAGACGTTCATTGTGCTTGAGTCTATGGATGTTATCCGTTGATTGGTCTACGACCTTGCCCGCGTAGCTGGGCCAAGGTAACGTATGATGAATATGCTGAGATGGAGCATTACATAATTACACTGTCTGGTTGTAAAAAGAGTTCATAATATATCTGGACTTTTTTAATTTCATTCAATATTTCATTCAATATTGTTTCAATTCATTTTGGCAAAATCGTATGTGAAGTGATCGGAAGCTCGCACAACTCACCGTTATTTAATTACAGCAACCACGGTCATATTACCGCTATTGACGCCTTGAAACAAACTTTAGTGGATAGAGAATGGATATATATATCATAAATGCCATACACTGAATCACTGAAAGTCATATTTGTTGTAGTTTGTCTATTATATCTCAACATAAAGTTTTCGCAATGGACGGTGATTGGTCAAACTCTTCCATTCGAAAACATTTCTGGCAATGGCGATCAGCTGATCCAAAGTGCTATGCTGATGGTTATTAATTTATTTCACATATGTATAGTAAAGCTGCAACTAAAATGATATTGGAATAAACTATTCCTGATAAAATAATAGTTTCAGATACAATTCTTCCACTCATTGTATCAACATTCTTTAAAGTTATATTATTGGGTAATTTTTGACCGAATAACCGGTAGATTCCGAGAAACGTGTGTACAGCTGATTGCTACTTCCGGCTTAGTTTACGAGACAAGAAGTACAGTAATCTTAATCTCTGCATATAAAACAATGCCAATCAGAACAGGGAATACAATTTAATTGGCTAATCATTATGTTCAGTGATGTTTTATCTCAAATTTCAAATTTGTATTGGCCAAGTTCAATTGTTATAATCTGTTCCGTTTCCCTGAATTCGCTGAAGGGCTACGATGTAAAAAAATTTTTCTGCGGAAGACAAACCATTTTTTATTGCAAAAGTGATGTGCATCATTCTGATTCACTTAATAGCCGGGTATATAAATTAGCATTGATTTCCCGCTTACTTTACAAGACAAATAACCTCTGCATATGAAACATGTCCCTCATACAGTACACAAATACCATCATCATGTCTAGTTGTATCGCAAATTTAATGTTTACATTGACCATATTTGCAAACAGGAAAGCAAGCACACAAACTCCTATTGCCTATTGTTGAGGTCGTGTGTTTGAGACGCGGAACATTTAAGATTTTTTCTGTTTTAAAGTGGAAATAAAAAGGAAACGTGCCACAGACTTTATGATGATGCGGCGGTGTCTGAGAACCAAGAATATTATTTTTTTAGCCTTACAGAGAATCCGAAAGCTTGTATCTTTTGCATAGTAATTTCCAGGTGGTCAGATTTGGGCTGGGAAGATTTTCGTAGCTGGATAGATGCAGAAGATCTCAGCAGAGAGGTAGTGGGAGAGGATCTTCCATTAGTAGGGACAGAAGTCTCGGAAACCACGGCTTGCTGGGCCAGATTGGGGTGATCAGACTGATGGTACGGCTTTCTAGTTCTACTTTGAATCACCCGGTCAGGGAAAGACCATGGAGGAAATGCGTAAGTGAAGAGATCTGTCCAATCCGTCGACAGGGCATCGATCTTAAATGCCCTCGGTTCTGGTAATGGAATGACGTAAACTGGGAGCTAATGATTCAGGCAAGTCGCACACAGATCCAGGTGCGGAGTTTCCCATATTGATGTGATCCAGGTCCGGATGGTGTATCTATTCCGTATCTACAATCTTTCCCTGGAATATGTTTTGCTTCCATCCGGCAATTGTACGAGTCGAATAAACAAGAAGTCTCCATCATCAGAGAACAGGATTTGGTTCCTCCCTGTTTCTGTATATAAGCCACTACCGTGTTGTGTTGCTGGCAATCAGGACTGAGGAATTGACGACAAGGGGATATAAGAAGCAAGATCGGTCTGGTAGGTAATTACTTAGTAAAACGTATTGTGGGAGATGGACTCTCTCTCTCTACCAACGGTGGGACTCTGCACAGGATGTGGCATCGACCAAATTATCGGAGACCCACACCCCAGATGTCAAGCATGCAGAAAAAGCACATGCTCCCCCAAATCTAGATGTAATTATTGAAAGGGATTATCAAAGACAAAATTGGATAAATCCTCTTCACTGCCATTCTATCTACATTAGTACAGCAGATAGTGAAAAAATCTTGCACATTGTGGTTTAAGCATGAAATTTAGCACACATGTTAACCACCTCAGTATAATAAAATTTAGATATAGTGCCATCTCATATGTGACCTCTGGTGACCTTGGTGGCCATTTTACAAAATGGCGTCCATTCCACATGTTGCAAAGACAAACATATTAGTGGACTGATAACAGCTAAATCGTTCATCTATGATGTCTGAACACACCTATTAGGTCCCCAAGAGTCTACAGAAAACATACATGCAAGCTACAGTCAGTTAGACTGCACATATGGACATATAATGATTTAGACATGGTATAATTAATGCTAAATGTTTGGATGACGTATCCAAATCTGTCCTCTAAAGTAAAGTTAATGAGGCCTATGACACAGTCTGTTCCTGCCGTTATAGGAACCGACTGGTCAAAGTGTGTTATTTGTCAAGAAGACAAAACTGAGAAGCTTTCTTGCCCATGTAATTCTAAACGCAGTGATGTTAGTGCAGGTTATATCAATCTTGCAGATGATCTGATAGCATTTGATAATGCTGGATTGCTCCCCAAAACTCTTGAAATCTCATAGCTAAATGAAGG